CCTGAAATATTTCAGTTGGTGTGTAATGAATCTGAAATATATGAAAGTTTCATTTTTATCATTACATTATAGAAAATAATGACCTTTATCACAATATGCTAATTTTTTGAGAAGGACCTGTACATAAGTTAATTAGAAAAGTTCTCTATCTAAGGAATCCAGCAGACAAGATGAGTCTTCACTTCGTCACAGTCTCCCATCCTGAGCAAGCACAAAGGAGACAGTGGAAAGGAAAACCTCCCTTTTAACAGGAAGAAACATCCAGCAGAACCAGGCTCAGGACAAGAGGCCATCTGCTTTGACCAGCTGGTTGAGAGGACAGGAAGGAGAGACAGACGAACACAGAGTGGCAGGTCCAGATGTGGATGCAGGTGTACCTCCTATTGGAAGAAAAACAAAGTCTTGTTAAGGATAGAAACAATTACAAATACAAAACAGAAGCAAGTAAAGACAGCAGCATAGTGAAGAAATGTGGTGAGTTTGTCCTCCAGCAGTTTAAGCCTGTAGTAGCATAACTCATGGATAGATCAGGAGACCCAAGCCGACCCTAACTATAGGATTTATCAAAAAGGAGAGTCTTAAGCTCAGTCTTAAAACTGGACCATGTGTCAGCTTTATGGATAGAAACTGGAAGTTGGTTCCACAAGAGAAGAGCCTGATTTTTTTTTAAAAAGGGAGCTTTTCATTTCCACTGTCTCCACTGTGCTTGCTCAGGATGGGAGACTGCAACGAAGCCAAGATTCAACTTGTCTGCTGGATTCCTTAGATAGAGAACTTTACTAATTGGCTTTTATGTGAATGTTTCTGTAAAGTGCCCTGAGACAACTTTGTTGTGATTTGGTGCTTTATAAATAAACTGAATTGAATTGAATTGATAACTGAAATATCTGCCTTCCTTTCTGCTTTTGGAAACTCTAGGGACCGCAAGTTAACCTGAAGTCTGAGAGTGAAGTGTTATGTTAAGAAAATATGGAACAATAAAATCTATAAAATAAGATGGAACTAAGTTGTTGAGAGCTTTGTAGGTTAGAAGTAAGATTTTGAATTCTATTCTGGATTTGACAGGGAGCCAATGGAGAGAAACCATCTATCCATCCGTCCATTATCTTTTACCTGCTTCTTCTATTTTGGGTCATGAGGTCGCCGGTGTCCATGTCCAGCGATCACTGTGCGAGGAGCGAGGTACACCCTGGACAGGTCACAAGTCCATCACAGGGCCACATAGACACAAACGAGACAAACAACCATTCTCACTTACACCTAGGGACAATTTAGAGTTACCAATCAGCCTAACATGCATGTTTTTGGTCTGTGGGAGGAAACGAGAGTACCCAGAGAAATCCCACGCATGCACGGACCTCTCCTATCAACTCTGATTAAAACTCTGGCAGCAGCATTTTGTATCAGCTGAAGAATTTTTTAAGAAGTTTTTGGACACCCAGATAGTAATGAATTATGAGGGGGACACGAAAATTGAACCACACACAGAAGTGAACACAAATATTTATTTAATGTTTTGTCAGGAGGAGAAAGTCAGCTGTCACTTTTAGCACTTGATCACAGGTGGAGAAGCCGAAGCTGCGATGACATCAGAAGGAAAGGAGGTTTGGACCGATCATGTGATATATGAGCACAAGTCCAACAAATACTCTCAGAATAAGGAGCTTGGTTTTGAGAGCTCAAAGCCTAGAATCCGGGGTCTGAGTTTGTGGTCAAAAACACAGGTGTGGGTCATTCACGTAGAGGCAGGAAAAGCAAAACTCATCCCAGGTGTTTAGCTGGAGTCGGTGGTCTGAAGGCAAAGTAAATGGTAAATGGACTGTACTTATACAGTGCCTTTCTATCTTATTTCAAGACGCTCAAAACGCTTTACACTACCATCTGTGCCTCATTGACCCATTCATATAGCTCTATACTAGATCTCTACAAAGCTAATTGAACAAATCATTCTAAAGACTCTAATCAGAGCTTTATCACATTCATACACTGATGGGACACACATCAGAGGCAACGAGGGGTTCACTGTCTTGCCCAGGGACACTTGGGTATGTGACTGCTGGTGGATTCGAACCCCCAACTCTCGCATTGGAGGACGACTGCTCTAACCTCTCAGCCACAGCCGCCCGTAGAAGTAGAAGTGGCGGCCCAGATCCGATGAGCAGAAGTATCCATCTTGGGCCATGTAAAGGGGAGGAGTCCGTGGTTTTGAAGTGGGTCAAGAACTAAAACACTGGATTAATTCAAGCGCAAGGCAATCGGACAATCTGGCAAAGAATGGGGAGTGCTTAAGAAACACAGCAAACAAAAAACAAAGTGCAAAACACAGATGCAGCAGGAGCTGGGGGTGGACTGGCCATTGGGAGCACCGAGACATTTGCCGTTAGCCTGGCCCTTTCACCGAGGAGGACTAAAGGATCGGTCACGGTTACCATACCATACCATTTTATTTATAGAGCACTTAAAACAGCGAAAAGGCCAACCAAAGTGCTGTACAGACAGAACAACAGGTAACACACAAAGCAATATACAAAATGAAGTAAATCAAAAATATAGACATAAAAACGATGCAGATAACAACAACTAACCAGTGTGGAGCATACTGGATCAAAACACAGAACACGGTTGGTTATTTAAAATAACTAATCCATGCTGCTCATGTGGCATGGATTATTCATTTAAACTATTACAGTATTTAAATTTAAATTGTTTATTTACATAGGAGGGGAGCGATTGGGAGTAACACAGGTGATGAGTATTGCTGCGGAGAAATGGGTGTGGCCGGTGGCAGAGTATGGAGATAATGAGATGCTGTGCTCTTTTAGAGCATTTAGAGCATTGTTTAGAACATTGCAAGAGTGTGGGAAGGTTTTATAAAGCCTTAATATATATATAAATACTACAATAAATATAGCATTCCTACTTCGCGTTTTTTTACTTCTTGCGAAGGTGTCCGGAATGTAACCCCCGCAATAAACAAGGGACTACTGTACAGTGATTTTTCTGGTTAGGGATTCATGAGTCTAACAGCTTCAGGGTAGAAGCTGTTCCTCAGTCTAGTAGTTCTAAACTTAATGTTCCTCAACCCCCTGCCTGAGGGGAGCGGGGTGAAAAGTGTGTGTGCTGGGTGAGTGGGGTACTTCATGATGCAGGTGGCCCTCCTCCTGTATCTGGAGGTGTAGGTGTCTGTGATCAAGGTCAAGGTGTCTTTATTGTCATCAACACCACATGTGGTACATGAGGTGGAACAAAACTATGTATACACAGGGTCCCAGTTGCATCCAACAAAAATAGAAATTGTAAAGAAAAACAGTAATAAGATCTGAGATATGAACTAAGAAATATGCTAAACTAAGAATATACTAAGCACTAATAGTACAAAACAATGCACATGGTGGAGAGACTGACTCCAACATCTTCTGTGCAGCCTTCACCACTCTCTGCAAAGCTTTTCTTTCTGCAGCTGTGCAGCCTCCATGCCACACGTTGATGCTGGAGCACAGGATGCTCTCCACTGCACACCTGTAGAAGGAGGTGAGGACTGAGCTTCCAGACCAGCTCGTCTCAGCCGTCTGAGGAAGTAGAGTCTCTGATGAGCTTTCTTGATCAGGCTGGTGGTGTTGTTGCTCCAGCTGAGGTTGTCATTCATGTGTACACCCAAGTTCTTGTAGCTGGAGACCACTTCCACCACAGATCCTTCTACTGTATGTGCAAGGGGGTAGTTGTGTTTTCTCCTTCTGATGTCCACAATCATCTCCACATCTTCTTCACATTGAAGTGGAGGTTGTTCTTCCTGCACCAGCTCTCCAGGTGTTCCACCTCCTGCCTGTAGCTGGACTCATCATTGTTTGTGATGCATCCCACCACCGCTGTATCGTCTGCAAAATGTACATTATGACAGCCTGGATGGGTAGGAGCACAGTCATATGTGAGCAGAGTGAACAGGAGGGGGCTCAACACACAACCCATAGGGGAACCAGTGCTGAGGGAGGAGAAGCAGATGTGGATTCTCACAGACTCCAGTCTGTTTAAGATATCCAGGACACGGTTGAATGTGTGTGTGTGTGTGTGTGGGTGGGGGGGGGGGGGGTCTTAGTTCTAGTGTGAGTACCGTAATTCTCTGGCTACAGAGCACGCCTGTATCTAAGCCGCATATACTAAGATCAATCATAATTTTGTACAGACAAATCATAATTTTGTACATAAATTGTGTGATAGGGCAATCTACATACGTATTTAGCTTGGCTCAGCTTTATAACTCGCACCCCACACTCTGTTCTTTGAATTGAGGAAGCTTCTCGGATGAGAAGCGAAACATCTTCTGTTACAAAATAAATTCCAGTTGTTTTTGGCTTGAACTTTTTTGAATTTACCATGTCCTGGATGACAGAGAAGATCATCATAAACAAGAAACAAGAAGAAGCTGTAAATAGGTCATCTTATGTGCATCTGAAAGCGAGAGTTTCTTTTTTTGTAAATACCCATTTTAACTTGGACTTCCTACAAGGCATGGATACTTCAGTGTTTCCCCTAGTTAACTTGCCATGGCGGGGTGCTCATTTCATCCATGATTTTTGTTGACGGGGGTACAGAGACATGTCTGAGTGCCGCTTGTACCAACAATTTTTGAGTGAGGGCGGGTGGGGGGTGGGGGGGTGGCGTTCAGCATGAGGGAAGAGGCACCTTTTAGCTTTTTAGCTAGAGCGCCTGAATTGTACGCCTCTTGATTAGCGCTATGTCAGTTCCAGGGGGTGGGTTCGGTTTGGTAGGCGGGGTGCTCAGTATTATTGGAAATGTGTTTCAGCCTCCCACTGGCTGGATTTTAGGAGCATCCTGCCCAGCAGCTCTTCTGCTCCAGGCCTAGTCTGGATTTTAGGCAGTTTTAAAGCAGCTTTCCTGTGTGTCACATGCTTCAGAGCAGGTTAATCACACCAGTGGGGTATTTCAAGTGATCAATTAATTTGGATCTCTGAAGTTCTAAAGCAGGCCTTTTGTTCTTCCAGGTCTTTAAAGGGGAATTTCAGCTCCCAGATTTCCTAAAAGAGCAATCACAGGTACTGTTATTCTTCTGGCTGTTTTTTTTTCCTTCCTTTTTTTCAACAGACTCAGCATTTTTGTTATGTGTTCGCACACATGAGTTTTCTTCCATTACTCTCACAGAGCTGAACCATGCATGTCAGGTCATTTAGTACTTCTTCCTAGGTGTGTGTGAGAGTGTGAATGTTGTCTGATTTGTCTCTATGTGTCATGTGATGGACTGGAAACCTGTCCAGGCTGTAGCCTGCCTCTCACACAGTGCTCGCTGGAGATGGGCCCCAGCTCTCTATACTGCTAAACAAAAAAAATGTTTAGATGAATGAACGATCAAAGTTGGACCAAGTGGAAGATGAGGTCAGAGATTTCCATCTGCTCACAGTTACTCATTTCTTGAATTTCACTTGAGTGTCTGGCCCTCAAATGCAGCCTGTTGTTCATTTCTGCTTCCATTCTTTTAGTTTTCACCAGATCTTTTATTTTTGGTCACATTTAATTGAGTTCTAGATGAGTTCTGGAGCCTGACTTTTGTTTGAGGACTCTTCTGCCTCCTGCTGGCAGTTTAGTGAAACTGTGCTTCCAGTCCCGTCAGATTTTGTTCCTGGAGTGTTGTGAAGCAGCTGTGTGTCAACTTGTCTTTAATTGTTGCTCCTCCATCTGTAATTCCCCGTCTTAGAGCTGACATTGAAAACTGACCGGCTGTCTGTTGTTTTTGTTTTTTTTTTCCATGCAGATGCAGAAGTCTGCAGAGAGACCCAACCAGAGTTAGGAGCAAAGGGAGCGCCGGCGCTGCAGCACACAGGTACAGCTTCACAGCCGTCAGAAGAGCAGGTGCACAATGAGGATTCTGCATACTTTTAATGAGAGAGAGACCTTTGGGACATATTCCTTTGTTGGCACAGTAGGCCAACAAATATATTCTGCAATTAAAGGGAGATGGATGTTTGAAATGAACACACATTGAGATGGAAGGTCTACAAATGATCAGTCTTGGTCAGCCCAACCTCAACCATCAGTCCAGCTCCAGAACAAAATTAAGATGGAGATTGACAACAGGATGGTGACTTTCTGACCAGTCAGTCCATTACATTCAGGTGTCATTTGAAGGCCACAGACCAGAGTGAAAATATACAGTATAACAAAATCAACCTGTTTACATATGACACTTTTCCATAGCTCCTCTTCAGTGCGGTTCGACTCGGCTCGGTACAGTTCCAAGACTTTTTCCTTTTTCAGGACCCATTTCTCTGGGGTTCCAAGCTGAACTGGCACCAAAACTTGATGTTAGAACACTGTGGTCACTGATTGGTCAGGGGGCGGAGTCACTGGTTCTTTGAGAAACTTTTCAAAACAACCCGATCTGCCATTTGCAATTAATCGAGCTCGGAGCAGCAGCTGGAGCTATTTTTAAGATTTTAAAAACAATAATGACAACATCATGGTCTCGTGCTGAAATGTTGGTGTTTTTTGTGTTTGTTGACCAACAACAAAATTCTGAGCGAGCTAGTCATCGCGAAGGATCATACGAGCTGCCAACACGAAGAAGCACGTGAGGTCGGACCCCGAGCTCCAGCCTCGCATGCTCCCGAAAGCTGGACCCTAAGCCTTTGAGCCCCGGCAGACAGGGGCGGACCAAGACGGGTCTGGGACGGAGGGTGGGAACGATTTTTAAAAATATTTTATGTATAAAAAATAATGTTTTTTTTTTTTAATCAGTGAAGAATAAATAAATAAATAAATAAATAAATAAATAAACGGTGCTGGCTTTATCATGAAATCCTGTTATCACTTTGACATTATTAAATAATAACCAGTTCAAATTAACTCAGCTGAAAAATCATAAAAAGACACAAACTTATTGGATCTCAGAAATGTTTCCCTCAAACAGAGACGGCCTTCAGTTCAACTTTATTCTAACCCACAGATGTACAAATCACAAAACAAGAACTAAACTTTAAAGCAAAGCTAAAATAAAAATAATAATCTGTATACAAGAAACAAAACCACATATCTTAATTGAACAATAAAAGTAGACACGAGTGCAAATACATCAAACGATGAAGAAAAACTAAAATTTTAAATATAGATGTTTTTGTAAAATCTGGTTCATCACAGATATATATATATATATATATATATATATATATATATATATATATGTGTGTGTTTAATTTGATCATTTTAATAATCTGTATTCTTTATAATTTACCAAAAACTTCTAAATAAATTCTCACCCTGTATATTAAACCTGTTTCATGTTTAAGTCATGATTATGAGCTAAATCCAGATTTTATCCAATCCGTGGGTGACAGTAATAATCTGACATGAATGATGTTTTATCTGGACAAATTCTGAAGCTTCCAGGTTAACCCTTTTATTGTCCACTAACTTTATGACCATTCATGACCCTTAGGGAAAAATCACCCACTTTATTTAACTGCATAAATGCTGTTTGTTTTATTTTATTCAAAATAAATATAAAAAAATAAAACAACTACCAGTTAGGGTTGGACAGTATCTCGATATTTTAAAAATATTTAGATAATTTAAAATGCGATATAAAATGAGCCTATATCGATATAAAACGCTATAGTCTTATACTCTATTACATAAAGTTCAGGTCTCTCTTGTAAATGAGTCCTCGAGGCTCAATGGGATTTACCTGTCTAAATAAAGGTTGAATGAAAAAAAAAGAAGTTATAAATCCCTCATCTATGGTCACGAGCTTTGGGTTGTGACCAAAAGAACGAGATCTCAGATACACGCGGTCGAAATGAGTTCTCTCCGCAGGGTGTCTGGGCTCTCCCTTAGAGACAGGGTGAGAAGCTCGGTCATCCAGGAGGGACTCAGAGTAGAGCCGCTGCTTCTCCACGTCGAGAGGAGCCAGTTGAGGTGGCTTGGGCATCCTAACCAGATGCCCAA